GGATGTGTGTGTGTTTGTACACCTGTCCAGCCCTCAGAGCGAGGACCATTTTTTCAAATTTACCATCAAATTGAAGACCAGTTGTTGCAAAGTGAGGACATTTTGCCATTCCTCAAATGCTATTTTGCTAATGGTTAGGTATAGGGCTAAGGTGTCAATTGATTAGGGTTAGGGTGAGATATGAATTGGTAATGGTAAGGTTACGGGTTAGTTTTAGGGATAGGGCTTAGAAAGGGTTGAAAATGACTGAAAATCCAGGGAGTTCAATGGGAATCAACACCTGGTCCTCACTACGATGGCAGAATGAGTATGTGTGTGTGTGTGTGTGTGTTACCTGGCTCTGGATCTGAGAAACCTGCTTGGCATGTTGGGTCTCCAGGGTTTCTGGCATCACTGAGAACAAACTGCTGCCGGCCTCTCGCCTCCCTGACTTCTTGTATTTAGTCTGAGAATCAAAGTTCCTGTGAGTTTAAACATCTTAAACATGCAGCAGAATCAGATTAAGATGTTGGACCAAATCTTTTTTATTGCACATCTCTCCCAGAGTTTCCCGGCTTCAGCCGTCTGCTCTCACCTCACTCTGCAGCTCAGAGACGGCTTTAGCAAACTTGGTCTCGCTGGTTTCTGGCAGCTGAGCGTAAACGCTCTGAGACAACATCTTCTTCCCCTCCTCTTTGTACTTGTTCTACAATCACAGGCAGAAATACCAGGTGGAGGATTCATCTTTTTAAATGCAGGACGAGCTGCCATGTTTAGAATCTGTTTCATCTATTTGACTTAATACGTTTTCCTTCTGCGATTTGTTTGTGACTCAGTTTGTTCAAACCCATATTTCTACACATATATTTCCATTAATGTTATATTCTTAGCCAAAGACCTTATACTGTGGTTCTGATCCGAATGCAATTGATAACTTTAATATGTGACAGATTAGGGTTAAAGTAAAACAGAAAATCTATTTAAAGCAAAGTTTGTCAAAGCGAAACACAGAACATTAGGAAATTAGAGAGATTAAAAGGAGATGGTTTATAAGAGTATAGGCACCATCTTTGTTTCAATTTAAGATGTAGACTGCAAAGACTCGTTCCCAACAGCTTCAGACTGACTACAGGTATCGGGTATTACAGGCTAACAAAGAACTCAAATGACCTCCATTCCAAAGGGACGGACTGATTAGTCCGGTTCAATTTACATGTTTTCTAAGCCAAAACAAAATGTTTTTGGTCCACTCTATAAAACCTCGAACTCAACGCTATTCCTGACGTTTTGAATTGAACAAGCTTCCTGGATGGGAAGCGAAACGCCTTCAAACTTGGAAACAAAGTCCACCGGATTCTTTTTTAACTTTTTTTGGAACGGATTGGTAAAACAGCAGAGGCTTAAAATGTCAAAGGCTGTAAAATGATCCACATTTTCTCTCAATTTTCTGTCAGGTTGCCCATCCAGATGTTCTGTTTCCATCTTTCCCTCCTCCTCCTTGTTGGTTATCATCAGCCTGATATTTAATTTCCAATCATATTCTCCCCAAACCCTAATTCTTATATTAATTTTCGTGTTTGTTTTTGGCTCCACTTTAAGCTTTTAATTTGGATCCTGCTTCAAACCAACCCATCACCAATCAAACAGAACCAGTTTCAGCACCAGTCTGTCACAAAATGTTGCTGCTAGATGGATCATTTGTAAAATATATTAAAAAACTAATAAAAAGTAAAAAAAAATACTCATTTACTTTTACAAAAGTTATTTTTTGCTTTACGAAGCTACAAGGGATAGAACAGCATACAGAAATATAAAACCAGAGGATAAAACAATCTCCTGTACTGCAAAAACAATCTAAAAATGAGTAAAAATGTCTTAAATTAAGTGTATTTATTCCTTAATTTTAACAGGTAAATAAGATGATTTGCTGATGGAATTATTGTTTTTACTTTTAGAATAAGATAACTAGATATTATGCACTATAAATACTTTTCTTATTTTAAATGTAAATTGTCTTTGCCAATGACAATGTAAATTGTCATTGGCAAAGTCTCTCACTTAGCTCCTCTATTGAAGAACAGATGCGCTTATTTTAATAAAAACAAAAAGACCAATTGAGACTTAAATTTTTTGCATTGGGATTCCATATAACCAGTTTAAACACCAAAGTGGAAATAAACTAGTTGCTAATTGTCTCTACCAGTAAAACTGAATGACTGCACCTGATGGGTCTGAAGTCTGATTTTAGATTAACTCTAAAATCATCGTTTCTTCCTCAAACAACAGATGAATCCTAAATCTTTCAGCTTACAGATGGATTGTGTGTAAATTAGCCGATTTCATATTTTAATGCCACATTCATGATCGCAGCAGTAAAACTATTGATCACTTTACTCTAAGCTTCAAATATTATCAGTAAACGAGATGCAGGTTATTGTTGCGGATTATTGTGATGATGCAGCTGCAGCCTTTCTGGACCAGACGTGAGTCATCAGTGAAATAGTTAAACCTTAATAAACCTCAGCTTTAAACCATCTACTAACAGTCTATTGGCTGATTTAAATGAATTGTTGTTTCCTGTATCTTTGCTCGTACCTCGCTCTGGATGTGGGCGACCTCTCGGGCAAACTGGGTCTCCAGAGTATCAGGAAGCTGGTGGTAAGCTGGACACTGCAGATCCTTCTTCAAGCCTTCTTTATAAAGCAGCTAGGAGACACAATGGAGCCCAGATTATCAAACAGAGTAATAATCTAGAGCATGCAGTGATCACAGGTCAGGTGTTCATTTATTTCCCTTCATCAAACCCTCATATCAAAGCTGCTAACATGAAGCAGAGGATTTTAAAGACTGAGCATTTTAAAGACAAAGAAGTGATCATCTACCTGGCTTTGCAGCTTTGACGCCTCCTTGGCGTGTTGCGTCTCCAGAGTTTCTGGCAGGGTGCGGTACAGAGGAGTGGAAGTCTCTTTCTTACTAGCTTCTTTGTATTTCGCCTGAAGGGTAAAAACAGTTTAACTTTGATGATCCTCTCCTGAACAGTCTGGGCTCCCCATAAGTTTAAATTCAGTCTGATTACAATCTAAACTACAATAAATAAATAAATTAAAAGACAAATAATGGTGGCAAAGAAATGCTGGCTAAAGAGAAAAATGCATAAAAAAAAGAAAAAAAAAAAGAAACAGGAATTATGGGACAAAGTGGAGCAAAGGAAGAAATAAGTTTTTTTGAAAATGTTTCAGAGATAAAAACTTTGAATGTGTGTGTACTTAACCTTTTTACTCTAATCCAGGCCTGGATTATAGTTTATAAATCTGGGGCAGCCTAAGAGATCAAAGGCTCATGTGAAAGAATCTATGAAGGAAATTAGTTGCTCACTAAGAGCAGCAAAAAGAAAGCTATAAGAAATTATGTCCACTCTGAAAACACCCCAGAGAAACATGGTGGTGGCAGCGTCATCCTGTGGGCCTTCTTGCCTTTACAAGGGAGTGGGAAGCTACTGAGAAAATAGGAGAATTTAAGATGGAGCTGAATATAAGACAATCAAAGAGAAAAACATGTTTGGGTCTGCAGAAGGTCTGAGGCTGGGGAGCACCTGAACATCCAGCATGGATGCTGTAGATCAGTAGTTCCCAAACCTCACCATGCCATGCCCCCTCAACAAGTGTTAAAAGGATGTTGTCTGACTTTAATATCCCTTTAATTTTAATTTGCCTACTAGTTGCTTTTTGTATCTCTGCTTCTGTCTCCTTGAACCCCAGTCAGCCTCAGCAGATGGCCGCTCACACTGAGCCTGGTTCTGCTGGAGGTTTCTTCCTGTTAAAAGGGAGTTGTTCCTCTCCGCTGTCGCTACAAGCATGCTTAGTGTGAGGGATTGCTGAAGAGTCAGAGAGTCGATGCAATCAGCTGGTTTTCCTTAGATAGAAAACTTTGAATCAATCTGACTGGATGATCTGGTTGAACTGTAAAGTTCCTTGAGATGACGTGTAAATTGGCGCTATAGAAATAAACTCAAATTGAAATTAATTTAAACTCAATTATCATAATAATTGTTTAACATAAGAATATTACTCAACATTTTATCAACATTATATCATAATACCACTGAATAACAAACCTTTCAACAAGAGTAATCACACCCTTCTCACTGTCTTTCCTTGCCAATATGCTTATCACTGACCACTTGTAGGCTATGCTTTTTACTGAAAAGGCAGAATCACATAATTAGGTTGTTGCAAAAGCGAAAAGGCTTTTCAGTCGAGGTGGGACGGTCCTTATATGGGTAAATGGGAGAAAAGCCTCAAAGTTCTGTTTTAAAATCCCTGTTTATACATTTATAACCACTTTAAGAACTTCATATTTTATGATAATGTGTGCATCTGTAGCAGCCCATTTTGAAAATAGCTACTTAAGATCCAAACTGAACTTTTTACTGAAGGCGGTTCTACAAAGCACTTCAAGCAGGATCTTTGCTTCAGGGACGACAGGGTTTTCGAGTGCAAGCTCCGACTCCAGCTTTTATTGCCTACTGTTGGTGGTCAGACGCCCGGTGGTGCCAGTGTATGGCAGCCTTGGTGCTGTCAGTGAGCCCCAGGGCAGCTGTGGCTACAATGTAGCTCACCACCATCAATGGGTGAATGACTGAATGTAATGTAAAGCACTTTGGTCAAGTCTCCTGACTAGAAAAAGCGCTAAATAAGTACAGGCCATTTACTGGGCAGTCTCTTAGGGGAGGGTTGGTAACAATTTAATACATACTATTTTTATTTCATTTAATCAATAATAAACAACTAGCAATGAATGAAGCAACTAAAATTAATGAAAAAGAAAAGGAGTACAAACTTGCATCTGTCCCCAAATCACATACAAAGAAAATTAGCTGCTCAGCTCTTCAGACTTTTATAGAAACAAAACCCAGAGCATATATGGAGCATAACGTGCACAGTTGAAGACTTATCCTTTACTTTTCTCATAGAACTATGCCTGGAAGCGGCCCTGGTGACACTAACACAGCCCCATCAGTCCACCCACCTCGCTCTGCATCTCCATCAGCTCTTTAGCATGCTGGCTCTCCAGTGTCGCAGGAAGCAGAGAATACAGGTTCATGCTCATCTCTTTCTTCCCGTCTTCTTTGTATTTGACCTTGTTAGGAAACCGGGTGCAGAACAAGAGAAGAGAACGGGAGGCCGTCCATTACAGTTAATAATACAGTCAGAGAGACAGAGGCTGCTTTTCCACTCGTCATGGAAGTTAAACCGGCAGGAATTAGGGTGAGTCCAGGAAAATCTGATCAATCTCACCTCACTGAGCATCTCCATCTGCTGTCGGACAAACTGAGTATTGATGGTTTCTGGCATCAGGTGGTAGAGACTGGAGGCGTCTTTCTTCTGATTCTGCTTGTATGTCAGCTGGAGGAAAAATAACACAACTAAATACAGTGAATGAATAGCTAAAGGCTAATTAAGTTGTGGAGTAAAAAATGTTGAAGTATGTCTGTTCTTAGCCTCACAGGCTCCAAACGAAGGTCATGAGAGAAAAGAATGAGTTACACAGCTTCCTTCATGGTGTGAAGGGGAGGACTGATGTTTTGAGGAGATCCATCTGGCCCGTGAAAGATATATTAACCTAACAGCGAACAACCTTGATGATTCAAGTTGTTTTTCCTCCAAATGTCCAGGTGTGAGAAAGTTCTTTATCTAAGGGTGGGATAGTTCCAAGAGAGTATTGGGAGTTGCTGTATAAAATTATGTACTGAGCTTGTCCCGGTCAGAGCTCTATCTCTCAGTCTGAGGACGTTAAATAAATTTTCTCTTGCAAGAGTCTCAGCTTCCTCGTCAACTCCACAAAGGGATAAAAGAAATCCAAAAAAGACAAAAAAGCTGAATGAAGATTTGCTTTCGTAAGAGCAGGACTTTGAAGAAAAGGAGATTTTAACATCTTAAAGGGAGTTTTTCTGATTAAAGATTCAATAAATGAAAACATAAGTATTTCTTCATCCCCTTTCATGACATTTGCAGTTTAGGTTTCTCGTTACATAGCTTTTTGAGGTTGATAAGATAAGGGTTTCTCATCAATGAAAAGAATAAGATGATCAATAAAAATTAAAATAAGAATTTGATCAACTTTTACAGTTCATTAGGTATTTCACAGCCCTCCCACTCTTATAATCAAATGATTTTTCTTTTAAAGAAAAGACCTGAAATCTGCACCTTTTAGTTCTGATCAGAGTGACTCTGGGAGCCAAAGCAACCATCGTACTGCGGTGAATCAGGTTTGATCCACTGCTGGAGGTAAATGTGTCTGCAGGCTAAATCACCAGGCTCGTGGAATAAAGGGCTAAAGGCTAACGGAAGTTCATGAATGGTAATGGAGAAATGACAGACTGTTTAAATATACACTGTATGAAGTCTAGGGGTGTGAGAAAGTGTCATCATTGGTTATTTCTACGGTAACTAGGTGAAAGCATCAACCAGGTGCTGCTGATTAAAGGCACTGATTGCCCGATCATTGGGGCCAAGGAACTGATCTGCTGATCCAAAGCATGCAGCTGTGTGGAAACACAATGCCAAGACAGAAAGACATCAGCAATAACCTCAGAGAAGCAACTGCTGCTTCTCAACAACCTGGAAATGAATCAAAGGCAATTTCAGGAATAACTGAAGCCATAACTTTCCAGGAGTCAACATCTAAGCCAATACAAACGCAAATAAGACTAAGGAATACTGTGAGATCTCACAAGATCCGTCTGCATAAGATCCTTCTGCATAAGATCCGTCTGCATAAGATCCGTCTGCATAAGATCCTTCTGCATAAGATCCGTCTGCATAAGATCCGTCTGCATAAGATCCTTCTGCATAAGATCCTTCTGCATAAGATCCGTCTGCATAAGATCCGTCTGCATAAGATCCTTCTGCATAAGATCCTTCTGCATAAATGTTATACCAAGAGGCTTAAAAGCGAATCTCAAAACTTCAAAACCAACTTCTTATTGCAGGCATAGATGAAGAGATGCTGAGTTTGGATGTAGAGAACAAACCCATTTAGTATGATCCTAATTATCCCTATTTAAAAGACACGCAATAAAAAGAAAATGTTTTGGCAGAAATGTGTGTGATTGATGCTGATGGTGAAGTTTAATGATGTTATATTAAGTTAAGCGTTCATCACTGCATGTTTTTCTCCTATGAATTTAATAATAATGTCGCGCATGCTCGCCTTGAGCTTTGAGGAAGCTGGAGCAGAGCAAGATGGGAGGAACAGCCGAGGATAAAGGCTTTGCTTTGTGCAGGAGGTCTGGAGCGCAGCACAGCGGTTACAGAGGATGCAGGATTTCAGTGTCAACCTGCTGTAGATTTGCCTAAACCATCAACAGGACAATGCTACCAAACACAGCAAAGAATCAAGGTGCTAAATATGGCCCAGTCAAAGTACAGACTTCAAGTTTATTAGAATACTGGAGCCCTTAGAGAACTGTGTAGAGAAAATAGCTGCAACTTTTAACGAAGTGAAGCAAAGTAGAGAGAGTGGGCCGACATTTCTCTAGAAAGATGTGAAGCTGGGAAAGTTTTGCTGCTCCAGGTAGTTCAACAAGTTCTTGGATCATTGGCAGTACAGTATGTCTCATTACTGAATTCATCTAATGGTAGGTTTGTTCAGTTGGTGAACCAGAGCTTACCTGGCTCTGCAGCTGGGACGCCTCTTTAGCATGACAGGTGTCCAGGGTCTCAGGTAGAGAGGAGTACAGGGAGTTCATCGCTTCTTTCTTTCCTGCTTCTCTGTACTTCATCTGAACATGAACCAAAAGAAGAGATCCTCCATGTTTAAAACATTTTTATCTGCAGCAGTTTTTTTTCTAAAACTCCTACATGGAGACGTGTGTCATCTGCATAACTGATGACTGAGACTGGATTCTAACTTCGTTTATCCTGCCCTGCATGATGAGGAGCTTATTTCACATATGAAGCTGAGACAGTCTGATTTCTTTCATTACGTAACAATGAATATTAACCAGGATGATCTTCTCCTCACCTCACTTTGCAGGTCAGAGACGGCTTTAGCAAACTGAGTCTCTGCTGTTTCTGGAAGTTGAGAGTAAAAACTCTGAGACAGGTTCCTCCTTCCTTCCTCTTTGTACTTGTTCTGGATCAAAAAGGGACCAATATAAAATGAGATTCAAAGACTCATACTGCTTTGCAACAGTCTTTGGTCACTGCACAAAAAAAAATAAGTAAAGATTTCTTAAATTAACTGTATTTACCCTAAATTTGAGTAGGTAAATGAGATAGTTTGCTAATGGAATGAGTCGTTTTACTCTTAAAATTAGATAATTATATACCATGCACATGAAATAGGACAATGCAATTGTGTTTTAAGTGTAAATAGTCTTTTTCCAATAGCAAGATGTCTCTTTTACCTCCTCAATCCAAGAACAAATGCACTTATTTAAAAAAAAAAAAAAAAACTTATCTAGATTTTGTTTTTTTCCAGTGTGATCATAGCAAACCCCACTGAATTTGAGAAGCTCTTGTCTTTGATCCGGTTTCTTATGCTAAATTTTAAAATACAACGATCAGAAAGCATTGAGTAAACATTATATGTCAAATAACAGGCATCATATATTTATTAAAAAGGGAATAAACTCAAATGAAGCACATTCTAAGGCCCTTCCAACCGTTTTGGGGAACCTCGTGTTTATTCTATCTCTATCCAATCATTTGAGAAACAAAGATTCAGGATACTAAACCTGACTCAGCAAATTAAAAAGCAGTTTTGTTTCCTGTAGGACCGTCGATGCTTAAAATATATATTTACAAGAGTTTCAGTTCATTGAAAGATAATTTTCAGAGTTGATAAAAAAACAAAGAAAAAGAAACAGAAATCTAACACATTTGGAGATTTTTTTTTCCCAACCGTAGAATCTGCCTTTTTTATTGTAAAATTAGCTGAATCCATCAACTATAAGAAAATGAAGCTTTAAATACAGAGTAATTAAATTACTCTGTATTTAGTAATTAAACATTAAAGAAAATCAACCAAACACTCCCAATCATCTGAAACCCAGTGTTGCCTTTGCTTACCTCACTCAGCATCTCAGTCATCTCTCTGGCAAAGCTAGTTTCTAAAGTGTCTGGCAGAGTCGAATACAACGAGCTGGACATTTCCTTCTTCCCATTTTCTTTGTATTTGATCTTTGGGGAGAAAAAAAAACATGTTACACAAGAAAACTTCACCATTAAAAACAGCAACATATGTCCAACATTATTATGCTAGTCTACACTCAACAGTCTAGAAATAAGTCAGCATTTTTTGAATTAAGTGTATTTACCCTTAATTTCGGAAGGTAAATAAGATTATTTTCCAATTTTTACTCTTGAAATAAGATAATTAGAAAATATGCATTTGAAATAAGACAATCAATTCTTTCTTCTTATTTTAAATGTAAATTGTCTTGTTCCATTGACAAAGTGTCTCACTTACTTCCTCAATTCAAGAACAAATGCACTTATTTTAAGAAAAAAATTATTCATTTAGATTTAGATTTTCCAGTATACTAGATAACACCTGCATATTAACTTGTGGTGTTCCACAGGGTTTATAACTCAGTCCCATTTATTTGACTACTGCCAAAAAAAAAAGTTTCATTTCAATCAAACACAATAAGGTCACACATACTGTACATTACCCACTGTACACCTCTATAGGTCTAGATCTTGCTTAGTGATCTAAAGTGTAATATAATACATATAATGTATACATTTTGTGACAAAGATGGCTCTAAACACACATTTCTGGTAGAGATATGTAACCCGCAATTAGTCAATCAAGACTTTTATTTTTGCGGGCCCACTTCCTGTTTTGCCCAAACTCCTCAACTTATTTAAAGCCCCGCCTCCAGCCAGGTTAAACTACATCACCTGTTCCACTGTGATTGTGGCTGGCTGTTGGCATCCTGCTGAACATTTCACCCTGGAAATAATCCAAATCTCTGAAACTACTGATTTGCTCTCTTGGTGAGTTTGTTCCTAGCATAGCAGTATCAGATTGGTATGCAATTGCTGCTTGATTGCTCATTGGAGCATTGTTTTATTAGAACAGTTGCTGTTGTGCCTGGGCTGTCACAGCTGATCGCTGTTGAGTGTGCCCCACTCCCTGCTTTAAGGTAACTAAACTGCTGGTATGGTGTGTGTTTGGGCACTTTGTGAAATGAAATGTGTTAAAATAGGATCATGTAGCTACATTTAAATTGATATTGCGCAGTATATTAATTTAATTTCTTTCTCTCACACTGCTTGAGTATTTGAGTTAATTTATTTTATTTGATATTTTGAAAGTTAACTTTGATTTCAACTTTTCAAGTTTAAGCTTAATTGATTAGTTTGAAATGATTATTCTTTTTGTTTATTTAAATTATGGTTAATTTAACCTGATTGAGATGTTTAATTATCAGAAATTTGATAGTTGTATTGACTTTATTTGTTGCATTTGTGTTTGTTAAAACACTTAATGGGTTTTCTGGCCTTTTAGGTCGGGTTTTTTTATATATGATGGATCAAATCCTCAGATCCTGAACAACTGATGGCGAGCTAAAAAAGGACAAGACCCCTAGGACTCTTTAATTGATTTTTTTTTTTTTGTGTATTTGTAATTGTAATTGTGGTGTTTGTTGTTTTTTTTCCCTGCCCCTTATTTTTTCCCTGTTTACAGGGAAAAACAATAATACACTTGCATAAAAACTAAAACAGTTTCCTTGTGTTTTCATTCACACCTCAGGCTCCTTAACGAACTGTTTTTCTGATATCGCAGTCAGCTGCCTAGCCCATAACTGTTACAGATACAATTCTCTAAGTACTGTATACTAGGAGAATTATAGCAGCTTTGATTCAGCATCAAATAAAAAAGTCAAATCATTGTAAAAGGCTATAAGTGTTCAAAATGTTTCTTTTATTTCTACATGACATCATTACATTTTCAATATGGTCGTTCATTTTTTTATTAGAAATCTTCATTTTTTTTTTTTATTAAGACCACTTTTTAATTAAGATTGTCGGCTTACCTTTGTTGTCCTGCTATCAGAACGTTTGACCTGAACAGAAATGTTGGTCCTAAACTTTAAGAAGGATCCTTGGCAATGAGTATATTAAAGGTTTATTCTGGTCCTAATATTAAGCTAAACTTAGCATAAGGTTGAGCACAAACTTTTCTATGTAAAAGTAAAACAAAACTTCATCCACCTGTCAGTATCAGTAGGATAAATGTCCAAATACTAAACCGTTTGTGATGTTTTCAATAACCATGTATAGTTAAGCTTCTAGGTACACTGTAAAAATGTTATAAAAATTAGTAAAAATGTCTTAGATTAAGTGTATTTACCCTTAATTTGAGTAGGTTAATAAGATCATATGCCCTGGAATTAATATGTTCAATCTTAAAATAAGATATTAGATAATATGCACTTGAAAAAAGACAATGCACTAGTGTTTTCTTATTCTAAATGTAAATTATATTGTTCCATTGGCAAAGTGTCTCACTTACCTCCTCAATTCAAGAAAAAAATGCACTTATTTTAAGAAAAATGGCTTCTTTGGATTACATTTTTTGAAGCGTGGATTTTCAAAGCTTGCGGCTGAGATGGTAACATTTTGATCTCTGCAGGTTCTCAATTAATCTTCCTGCCTTAGTCTGAAATAATCTCTTAAATGTGACAATATTGGGCCAATCCCATCGTCTGAGACAGAATTGATAATAATGTATTAATCATATATGGAAGCCTTCTCATGGGCTGCTCAGTGGCGCAGTGTGTGCTGCCTTGCAGCAAGAAGGTTCTGGGCTCGATTCTCAGCCTGAGTACTTTCTGCATGGAGTTTTTCGCTGATCATGCTTGGCTTCTCTCTCACAGCCCAAAACATGAATGTTATGTTAATTAGCTTCTCTAAATTCTCCTTAGGTGTGAGTGTGTGCAGTTGCCCGGCGATGGACTGGCGACCTGTCCGCCTCTTGCGTGATGGAAACCTTATTATGAGCCTCTTTCCTGTTGTTAAACAGGCTGTGGTTTACACACTGAACCAGGAGGAAGATCAGTCCATTACCTCATTGAGCAGCTCTGCAGCTTCTTTGGCTCGCTGTATCTCTATGGTGTTGGGGAGCTGGGAGTAAAGGTTGGTCTTCATCTCCTTCTTACCAGCCTCCTTATATTTAACCTGCAGATTTAAACCACAGTCCTGCATGAATGCATTCCTTAGTGCTTCTTTGTTGATGCACATTTAGACTTTTTAGGCTGATTTAAAAAGTTTTCACTACATCTGATCAGATGATTTCATAGCTTCAAATACATAGAAATCTAGTTTATTATTAAAATGTTATGTAAAGCTTGCATGTATGATTGCGGTTATGGGCGTACATCACTTTGCAGCTCTGACAGATGTTTGGCCAGCTGTGTCTCCGTGGTCTCAGGCAGCTGATGGTACAAACTGCTCTGATTCGTCTCCTTCACACCTTCCTTGTATTTCACCTGAAAGATGATGCATCCTATCAATATATCCTAAAAGGTATTAACTTCAGCACATTATGCTGTTTCACTTTCCATCTGCATAAAAAAAGGCTGATTGGATAAAAACGTCTAAAAATAAAAGACAAAATGGTTGGCAGGAAAAGACCATTCAGTCCTTAATACAAAGTGAAATAGCTGCTTCTGATGGGAAATCACACAATTATCAATGAATAGAAAACCAGTAAAACGTATTTCTCCAGGGCAGATATGGATTATTAACAGAAAACAAAGATGTAAAGATTTGCAGGTATAACTTGTTAAATAACTCACTGATACTGAGACATAAACTCTATATTAATGGTATTGTGTTTACCATGAAGTTGGTTTGATTTCTTCAACAATCCCTTTTTATGTTGGTTTATTTGAATCATATTAACATAGTTATTCCATTAACCTGGGATAGGAGGATGGGAATTTCCCTTTCTTTTAACATGGTGTGATAAAAGTATTTGAACCCAACTTCATGCACAGGACTAAATTATTGTGGCAGAAAAATGGTGAAATTAAAATGAGAATAAAAACCAGATGAACCATTCAAGGAAATAAAAGGAAAAGAAACCAATAAAAATGTGATGTTTGAGCAATAAATATTTCAACAGAGATGCTTCATGGAAAACTGCAACACATTTTACATAATTATCATGATTAAATGGCAAACTTATGAAAACATATCATCATCATCATCATCACCACGCATGGCTTGGTGATGATATTTGAGCATCAATGACAATGAGTAGAACATTCAACTGACAAGTGCAAGCTTTTACTTCTTTACTAATTTAACTGGAAACTAAAACATGCATCAATTATTTTAGTAGCTTATTAGCCCATTTATGCTACAATAACACAGATTTCATTTATAGATGTCATCAAATTAATCACCTTATTGTTGGAGGTTTTCAAATGAAATCTAAATATATTTGTCCTTAAACTGAATCATTTTAATCTTTTAGCATTAAGTGCTACTAAAAAATATTTCTAATGTCAGATTTCTGCTATGAAATTCTGCAATAAATTTGTTACTAAAATGATTTTTCAGTTTACTGGAGATTTAAAGGTTTTGTGGAGGATTTCTAAAAGACCCACCCTGTCCACTTAAAAAAAAAAAATGTGCTTGTGAGAGAATGCACAGGCACATTTCTCCCTGTGCACGCCCTGTTTAAAATGTGCTGTTCTCATAGCTCATATAAGCTTACTGTGTCCACATACAGCAGGGACTATATAGTGGAGTTTATAGTGAACTCAGTTAACTGACCGTTCAGACAGATGATCACTGCTTTTTGCACCGATGATCACGTAACTCCTCCTCCTCCGTGTTGTGCATGCACCATCTTTAATTAGTCGCCGCTGTCGGGTAGCGGCAGACTATGTTGACACCGAGCCTCTGTGACAGCAAATCCCATAATGCTTTGCGAGGACAGCCCTCTGTGCAAAGCATTCTGGGATATATCCTATTTCCTTCTTATACTCTTTATCAACACTTTTTCTCTTACGACCCTCGGCCATTTTCAAAGAACCGCGCTGAGAAAGGTGAGCTGCAATGACTGTCTGAAACCGTAGCTCACCACAGATATACGCCTGAAAGTGTGCATGCGCAGAAAAATATAGCTAACCGGACGAGTACGTACGACAGCCTTACTTAAACATATCATCAGAATGATTGACAGTAAGGAGGACCACTTATTTAGATGATCCACCCGGAAATAAAAGGTTGTCCTCTATACCTTTAAGACAAAACACAGAAAGTGGAGATGACTCTTCCAGAGGAGTCCCTCCGCTGCATACCTCACTCTGCAGGTCGGACACCTGTTTAGCGTGCCGAGTGTCCATGGTCTCAGGCAGCACTGAGTAGATGTTCATGTTCATCTCCTTACAATCTTCTTTATATTTCACCTGAAAAGCAAAATGAAAAACAAAGATGAGAAAGGTGAGATTAAGACATGTAATTATTGATCGAAAATCCAGGAGTATTCCTATTTTCTGATCGGTTCCTCTGATACCTCACTAAGCATCTCAGAGACTTCCTTAGCGTGGAGCATCTCTAACGTCTCTGGCAGTTGATGGAAGAGGCTGGAGGAAAGATCTTTCTTCAGAGCTTCCCTGTACTTTCGCTGAACACAAAGAAGAAAAACACAAAAAATAACCCATTAATAAACTATGGTGTTCCACAGGGCTCAATGCTCGGTTCACTCAGTTAAATACAGCAATAGAATTAAGCTTTAATGATTGTAAATACATAAAAAGGATAAAATAACAGAGAATTTATATACATTTGTTCTTTTATGTTTGCAGTTATTGACGGTTTATAAAAACTATAACTGCTGAAAATCTAAAATTAGTACCTCCTTCCAAAAAAGTTAAAAACAAACCACTAGATTTTGTTTCCAAGTTAAAAGACATTTCGCTTCCAATCCAGGAAGCTTTCTCAATTCAAAATGTCTGGAATAGCGTTTAGTTCCAGGCTTTATAGAGTAGCCAAACAAAGCCTTGGTATGGCTTAGAAAACATGCCAATTGAACCGAAAAAAAACAGGTCCTTCATAATGGAGAATCGTTTAGGGCTTTGTTGACCTGCAATACCCAATACTGGCCCATTCCTCTGAAAAGGGGAGTCGTTGGGTTGTCGTTGGCCTGGCTCTCTAGGAAACTTGTTTTGGTACCCTGCATGGTGATGAGGACTGAAATGATAGTGGGAAGGAAACAACTCTATTGCTGTACTGTAGGTTTTTGAGACCTGAGTCCACCCCCTCTGTCTGAGGTTAGTGTTTCTCTCTTAAAGGAATAGTACACCCAAAACATGATTAGCCTTCATTTTCTACTCACCCCCATGCTGAACAACACCCTGGAGTACTTTTTTGATATCTCAAATGCATCTGGAGATCTGGGAGGCTTCTTGCTGTCTGCTGACATTCAAATAATGGAGGTCTATGGTGCCCGAGACAGAAAGGTCCACAAAAAACGTGTCAATATTCCTCCATACTACTCGTCCAATGTATTCCAAGTGTCCTGAGTGGGTAGCATCCAGAATTTAGTGTATAGGATTTCCTGAAAGCGCGTTCACGAGTCTACGGAAACCGCGGCAGACCGAACCAGATGAAAGTGCGCATTCAGCTCGGCAAAGAACTCATGCTCTTCCTCAACACTGAAGTCCTCAGACATTTTTCTTTCGTTGTTTCTTTCTTTGCACAGGTAAACAGCACATTTCTTCTCCTACGCTTGCATTATCGTCAGAGCAGACGCTGAATGCGCACTTTCATCTGGTTTGGTCTGCCGCGGTTTCCGTAGACTCGTGAACGAGCTTTTAGGAAATCCTATACACTACTGTTTATGCTCTAAAAACATTCTAAATGACTTCGTTTCGAGTAAATTCTGGACGCTACCCACTCAGGACACTTGGAATACATTGGACGAGCAGTATGGAGGAATATTGACACGTTTTTTGTGGACTTTTATGGACCTTTCTGTCTCGGGCGCCATAGACCTCCATTATTTGAATGTCAGCAGACAGCAAGAAGCCTCCCAGATCTCCAGATGCATTTGAGATATCAAAAAAGTACTCCAGAGTGTTGTTCAGCATGGGGGTGAGTAGAAAATGAAGGCTAATCATGTTTTGGGTGTACTATTCCTTTAACATAAATGGCTTCCTTCACACCCCTTTCAAACCACCTGCTGCCTTTGTCCAAAATGTGAGCATTCTGGTCCTAAAATGAGTGTCCTTTGTTCTTAAAGGCTGGTTTATGATCAGAAACCAGGTCGTCTGCGTGTGTCACAGTGAACGCAGATATGCCCCGCCCCCTTCGCAGACACTCTGCTGCACCTCTCCAAAATTGTAGGTGACCACAGACAGTGTCGCAGACAGGAGGCCTCTGATTGGTCAAATCTAAATCCACTCTACACTATGTGTATTTCCTGTTTGGTACCATACCAGGTTGTTTTTTTTGTATGACCGCCATTGTGGAAAACGACTCATGAAGATGGACCAGCTAGAAGAGCGAGGCGCGCGAGAACGCTGGGACCCTTTTTCCACCTGGATCCCTGCTCTTTTTCACCCTCATGTCTCTCTGTTGTTGCAAAAGCTTGCCCCCACTGCCTCACCGCCTCAGTCGTATCTAGACCCACAGCTAGTTGGTAGTAACATAGGAAAGAACACTCTATAATATTGGGCATAAATCAAAGCTCACAGCGACACACTACTGCAGGAGGATAACCTAACCAGCTCTTATGGTGCAGGTGGACAGTAGACTCTTGTCCGCAGGAGGTCGCTCTCCTGTGTTGGGCCATGCGTCTGTGGAGAGGTTGTTTGGTTTCTCCAACATAAAGATCAGAGCTAAATGTGTATGCAGCTCAGCGCAGTGAAGAATATTCTCATCTTTACATTGGAGAAACGTTCAGTGGATTATTTAACTTCTTTGCAATGACTATGACCTGGATTATTGAGAATCTTCACCAGCATTAAATAACTACCATCGTCACCTGCTTTCCACCAAGCATAAGGTCCTAATCAGAGCCAGCTGTTACCTCACTGGTCAGGTCGGACGTCTCCTTAGCATGCAGCGTTTCCAGCGTCTCAGGCAGAGTGGAATACAGGGAGCGAGAAACGTCCTTTTTCCCCTGTCTGTATTTCATCTACATTAAAAAAACAAAGAAAAAAATACGTTTTTTTTCTGTACACAAAAAAAACCAACTTCTTAAAATAACAAGACAATAAAACTATATTTGTTGTTGTACATATAAGGTCTAAAGAAAGCTGCATCGTGGTGTGTTTCCTGTAAAAACGCCTTGATAATCATTACAAAAGTTTTAAAGAACCTTAAATAAAACCAGAAAGGAAATGTTGGTCGATCTGTTTTCTTCTCACAATTGTACATTTTTTTCACTCACCTCGCTCTGCAGCTCAGCGACATCTTTAGCAAACTTCATCTCAGCGGTTTCTGGCAGCTGACTGTAGAGACTCTGAGCAGTGCTCCTCATCCCGTTCTCTTTATATTTAACCTTCAACACAAAAACATGAGTTTCCTCTTTAATAAACTGGTTTCCATTTCTTTTTTTAACTCAAACATTTTTTGTTTTAATTTTGCTGTTCTTTGTTTTCCTTATTTGTATAGGAAGAGCATTTGCTCCTGTTAATTACTGCTGACGGTTAGCAGAACCTTATTAATTCAGACTGCATTGTCTCAGCAGGATTAAAATGCAAATGTAAAAGACTGTGACTCACATAATCTCTTTGATCATCTTTGTGATGATAATCAGAGCTTGATGACGATTTTATGATAGAGACATCAGAAATGATGAGATGATAGTGATGCAGCTCTCTGCAGGAAGTTACGCCCGGGCTCTTACATATTTAAATACAAAATCAAAAAAAAAAAAGCTAGTTCTGATGATAGAGATGTTGCCACTGTGACCTGATTCTGAATAAGATGAACAGAACTACAGTTCTAACCATATAAGGTGTTATTTCTTCATCGCTGTGTGGGATGGGGGTGATATCTCTGGTACAATGCTGAACCACAGGTTACTGGTAAATGTTAAACAGTGAGTGAGCTGCTGGATGGTCAGTGGATTCCAATTGGATTTGTGTCCAGATATAAAAGCTCCTCACTAATTCATATTTTACAGTAAAACAGTTTTAGCCATCATAACACAGAACTAAAGACGGGGAATGATAGAAGTCCACCCATATGTAGGCGGCCGACCACATAAACTGAGTTGAGAAACGACGACGCAGAAATCACACAGAGTGGAAGGTTAATTTAGACTTTTTCCACTTTATTTTGAGGTTTTTATTGCAATAACCATAAAAAAGGTGATAAAAAGTATCCAAAGATTCCTCACATCCATTTCTGGTTGTGTAGCAGGGACTGCATGTCACTGCAGTTACAGAACTTGAAAACACAGATCATCTAACTGAATAAAAAAAAACACTAATACCCAAATTAACTTAATCATGAGGGTTTGCAAACATCGTCAGAAGTGTTTATCATTGTCATGATCCAAATTCTTATCGCAATAAAGCATTTTCACACTAACAACAAATGATAAGATTTCTGTAAAATGTACCAGGGGGCCAGTGTGTTTTCATGGGGGAACAGAAAAGCAAAAAATAAAAAACTGGGCAAGGGATTCAAATATATTAAGAGAGTTACATGAAGTGAAATTTCTATTCAGTTAAGTTTAATTAAAATGCGATGTCTTATTAGGTCGATATAGATTAATATACATGAATTAGAAATCAAGGAATAAGGGGAATGCTTTGGCGGCCCAGTGGTTAGCGCGCATGACCCATATACGGAGGCCTTAGTCCTTGACACGGGCGACCCTGGTTCAAACACCAGCTGTGATCCTTTCCCGCATGTCTCTCCCCCTCCCTCATAACCTCTTTCCTGTCAGCATACTGTTGGGAAAAAAACGAGCCACCAGTGCTGTAAAAACTCAAGGAAAACTGATAAATTCAGCTGTAAAAAATTGAGAATTTTAAAATTTGTTTTGAAAAAAAAACATTTAGCAGATGAAAACTGGGATTCTATTGCAATAACACTGAATCTATCACCATATTGTTTTTGAATAATTAGTAAAACAGAATTTGTAAAGAAAAAAAATGAACTAGAGCCAAAGGAGCTATCAGTAACCATGTCTGTTCCAGTGTATATCATCATTAGAATTTCTTCAAAGCATTATGTCTTCAGTAACAGGGGCCAGGACATGATCCACAGGGGCACTGGCCCCTGTTGGCCCCTGTATAGGACCGGCCATGCTGCAGAGGTCAAGTTGAAGCTCAGCATCTGCAAATTTCATAGCCCTCAGTCAGCTTAGCTAAAGAGCAGAGAGATTCATGGGAGGAGTGACCATGTCCAAGCAGCTACATCAAAGGCTGATAGCAACTCTAGAGTCATGAAGGATGAATCATGCTGCTCTGCCTGGTAATGATTGACATGCTGCTCTGATGGCCACTGAGTCAGTGGTCTGCATTGTGCCACATGGTGTGTCCCAATTCACCCAGCCAATATAGGCCAGCTCCTTCGAAGACCCCCCCTCCATGACTGGGCTTCATGCTCTGTTGGATCGAAGGAGAAAGGAAGAAAAAAATCTGTGCTGCGACAAGTAAGAGCTGTGTGCTTTGAACTCACCAATCTCCATGTTTTTTTTTGCTTACCTTGTTGGGCTTCAGTTATATTTTTTATTACATGCTAATTAATATTCCTCTACTTTTGTTATTTTTGACGTTCCAAATCTGTTTCTATGTGCACAGAGTATCTCTCCATCCCCTGACATTGAGTCATTGATTCTTTTGTGGAAAAAAAGACCACAGCAAAGCCCCATTTCCACTACCCTTTTGAAACCTTGCCAAGATGGGTCCGAGCACGGTAATCGAGATAACTGTTGAGTGTAAATGGCACGCACCTATGAACCGGACCGTGCCAGACAAAACCGAACCTAACTAAACTGGTACTAGTTCATCAGTAGGGCTCAGCACGGTTCAGTTCTGGCTCGGTTCACAGATAACAAAGAGCGCATGAGCAGACCGCATCATCTCCTTACAGTCAGCCTCCATAATCATAAAAATTTCAGACATTCATAAAAATCCAAGCTTCCCTACCCTGCCAAACGATTTCCAGTAATGATTCTGCTTAGCAGTGTGATGAACCTCAACTCGTTTCCTGCGTCTGTAAGCCCTGATTAGATTATTGTTTGTCGTATCCACGTCCCAAAAGCTGACTCTGTCAAAGAAAGGCTGCCTAACCAGAGGCTGCCTTCTTTGTCTGACTCTCTGAAAACTTCCTAAATGTTACGGGCGCCGCCATGGTGGTTTGCTTGTTTCCCTCTAGAGAGCAGTAGTACCGTAGATCGCCACTATGAGGAGTGCTAGCATGATGCGTAAATGGTCGTAATGGACCGAGCTCGGCACGCTTAACTGATCCAAGATCGGCACGGATCTGTTTTCAGAGGGTAGTGGAAATGAGGCTTTAGTTTCACGTTTCAGTTTGTACCGGCCGCAGTGGAGCCTTAGATTTGGAAAAATAGCTCTGCCCATGGTAAGTGTTTTCCTCAGCATATCCTCCCCCAATGAATTTGGGAGGTTTGCAAAAGCAAATCATGTAAAGTCCCTTCTTCAGATGGGACATGTTGTGAATTGGCATTGCACTGAAATACTTAGCATCTTCTCTGTAGATCTGCTCTGTGTGTGCAAACACCTCTGCACCTGTTCTAAAAACACATCAGGCCCTGAGTGTGTAAAAATATTCTACTTTTCCTAGAAGAAGTCCAACTTCATCTCCTATATTTTTCTAACTTGGAACCTTTTAGTTCTGACTCTGACTAAAAGTGAAGACAGTAATTAGCTAACCATTCAATGTGCTTAAATTTAAGAAGTTTGTTTGAAATTCTGGGCGCAAAAAGAAAATAATTCAAATCTCTTAAAGAAGGTTTAAACAGATTATTTACAAAAAAAAAAAACATTAATTAGCATCATTCTGTCTCTAGAATCAAAATAAACCAGAAACATTGTATTCAGAGAGAGAGGTCAGGCTGCTAACGCTATTTTAAAACTATGTAAACATCAAACACTAAAACGTCTAATTGTTCTGTTGTAGCATCCAGAATCTTCCTGTCATTCAGGTAAACATTCAGAGATCTGAAGCCCTAGAAGCTCTGATGGATCTTCTGCTTCCTGTCCTTACCTCGCTCAGCAGGTCGCTGACCTCTCTGGCAAAGCTGGTTTCTGCTGTTTCAGGCATGGTGGAGTAAAGGCTGCTGGACAGCTCCTTTTTCCCACCCTCCTTGTATTTTACCTGATCAGATTCATACATGTTAGAACAGAAACCTCCCACTGAATACAGAGAAGGTTCTCCATGCTGACAGCTTTGAACCAAAGCTTTGGGTTAAAGCTGGTTCTCACCTCACTCAGCAGCTCTGCAGACTCTTTGGCATGTTGTGTTTCCAGAGTTACAGGCAGCAGAGAATAAAGGCAGCTGTTTGCCTGCTTCCTTCCTGCTTCTTTATACTTTACCTAAACACACACAAATAAACATTTTAATGCATATACCACATCAACTCTAATTCTTTTACTATATAAATATATATAATATGGTAATTATTCAGGATTTCTATAGAGTTTCTCAGTCATTCCAGTGTCTGGAAGGACCTTTTTTTGGTGTTAACAATATTTCTTTTTGTCTGCAAAATCAAAAAATATGAATAAAGCAGCATGTTAAATGATTCGAAAATAATTTCCAAAGTTAATTCCAAGCAATCAGTTCCTTCTGAAAGCTACATCAATTAATGTTCAAGGACAAAATGTTAATAAAAAAGGTTTAACTGGGTTTTAACTCATAAATCTGACTGTGGTCTTTAGGTCAATATTACCATTTATGATTCCTCTATAAATTAAACATTCACTAAATTTGTTTAGAAAATTAAGGAGCTTTACTAAAAGCCTCATATCTGCTACAAGAAAGACGCAAACACAATTAAAGTGTGATGAACCCATATGATCATTTCTAGAGAACCCAAAGGGGAAAACAGTTTTTTTGCTCTAAATCTCTCCTCCAAACAGGCGTACATCACTCTGCAGCTCTGACAGATGTTTGGCCAGCTGTGTCTCCGTGGTCTCAGGCAGCCGATGGTACAAACTGCTCTGAATCTCCTCCTTCACACCTTCCTTGTATTTCACCTGCAGGAGAAGATGATGCGTTAATTCACAGCAAACCTCAAACCTGCAAAGTACAAATTACATTTTTATTTGAGTTTCTTCCTTGATCGTACAGGCAGGCTGTTTAAAAAAAAAAAAAATCAGTGAAAGATGCTGCATTTGTGTCAGAAAAGCCTATAATTGTCTATTATCATCCTCTTTAGTTCAAACTTTGTTTTCGATTTAAAGATACTAATTTAGTTTCAATATAAAGTTATTTTTTTTACCAGCTGTCAAACCAATCATAGGATCTTTGCCCTGTTTCCACCATCTTTATTTGGCTTTTTTCCACCCTTCTCAGCCCCAGAGTGGGTCTCATTAGAGAGAAGGGTCAAAAAGCAGAAACAAAAACATCTAAAACAAATAGTGTCGTGGAACAGAGCCAGAACAAGTAGAACCAGAGGAAAAGGTTCAGTAGTTTGTTTATTTTTTTATTGGACCAAAAGATCTGTATAAATAATTGTCTTATTAAAAAAAAAAATTATATATTTATAAAAACTGTTTCTTGATATTCCTAACAAACTATCAATTATAAATAAAACAAATAGGGGTAAACCCTAGGATGTGTTCTTTTAATCTAAATCTCAACCTAAACATCTACTCCTAAAAGCAGTGCTGCCATTTAAAAACTCCTCTCTATGTCTTCACATTGTTTGTAGGCATAATCATTTATTCAGTTATTCAGTTAAGAACATTTACAGTTTTTGGCATTTACTTAAATCATATTTAGTTCATTGTTTCATGTTAGCAGGGTAGGGCATACAAAAAAATGGTGATAAAGTAACTAAATATGGTTAAGAAAATGCCAAAAACGGCTGCATTATTTTTTTTCATAATAGATTATATCAAACCAAACAGCCTGATTTTTTATTTATTTAATCTTAGTTTTACCAGGAAATAAATCCATTGTTATTTGGAATCTCTTTTACCCGGATGTGAACATCTTATATGCAGGTATGAAATCAAAACAGGAGTTACACAGAGCAAACTGCACACCTTAGTGAATTCACCTCACGGTCTTTCAAAGAAGTGCAGTTAGCCCTTATTTAACGAAAGGAAAATCGAGCTGCCTCTAATAGAAAAAACTTCAATTCATTGAAAAGTATCTGACACATTAATACTGATCATAAATGTATATGGAAAAGGAGAAAACCCTGCAGGGAAACAGGAATATTTTATCCTCAAATAGCCACAAACACAGTTTATTATTTAATATCAGGTTGGAAGTTCTGAGTTTGGAGCGAGGAACGGACGGAGCAGTGTACCTCGCTCTGCAGGCTGGACGCCTCCTTAGCGTGTTGAGTTTCAATGGTCTCTGGCAGGACAGAGTACAGGTTGATGCTCATGTCCTTCAAACCTTCTTCTTTATACTTCCGCTGCGACAGTAGTAAAAATGCAGAAGTTCAAGGTCAGAGCAGAGGAGCGTCTACCATTCAAGTAATTCAAGGAACATTCAAGCATTTTAAACCTTGACTGGTTTTTCTAACAGTATAACAATCCAGGCAAAGTAGATTCCACTTCCACACATTTAGAATGTAGATTTTATGATCAGACATGCAATCTGGCATTAAAATCATCTTTCTGATGGTTTTCTATAGGTGTTGTACCTCACTGCAGAGCTCAGATACTTCCTTTGCCCGAGCCGTTTCTATGGTTTCTGGGAGCAGAGAGTACAGACACGAGTTCACAGCTTTCTTCCCTGATTCCTTGTACCGCATCTAAAAAAACACACCATATTTTTAACCTTTGATGGGGATTAGAAAGTCCTAAAACATCTCCATGGTCTTGCAGTCCTCTTCATCTCACCTGACTCTGCAGCTCAGCAACACTTTTAGCAAACTGGGTCTCTGCTGTTTCTGGTAGCTGAGAGTAAAAACTCTGAGAGAGGCTCTTCCTGCTGCCCTCCTTATATTTACTCTGAAAGGAGATTGTGGAGTTAGGAAGCTGAGACAGAGGCATTTCTTGCTAGAAACAAGATTCAAATGTATTTAACATCCTCAGACAGAGAGACAGGGCTGTGAAGCTTTTATACAGCAATTCCCAATACCCACACTCTCCCTTGGAACTATCCCACACCCTACATAAAGAACTTTCTCACACACGAAAAGTTGGTGATTCCAAAGAAAAAACACTTAAATTCATCAAGGACATAAATTTTTGCCAGATAAACACTCAAAACAGGTCTCCCATTCACAGCAAGAAGGAGGCTGTGTGAACTCATTCTTATCTCTCATGACCCTCCCCTCACCCTTGTCTAGAGTAGGGAGGCAACTGCTTCCTGTCAAACCCAATCTTAACTCCATAACTTAACTCCAGCATACAGACTGATACAAGACTTCTAAACAATCACCCTTATTTAGGCCAATGAAAGGCACACTCAAAATATTTTATCTCACAAATAAGCCAACGAAAAATATGCTTCCACAAGATCCCAAACAAATCCCTAATTATTAGTGTTGCTCCGATGCCTTTTTTTGGCCAATACCAATACTTGATACCTGGCTGTGCAGTATTGACCAATACCATACCGATACCATCTGTTTGAAATTGATGTGTGTGTGTATAGATGAAGAACTTCATAGTACTTGGATGTAAAATAATTGCCATCATGTTTTTGTCAAGCTGCTGCCTACCTTTGTGAAGCAGGAAAAAGACTAAAACCAAGTGAATCCAGTAGAGCTTTTTATTGCCTGGAATGGGTGACAATAGTTGAATAAACTTTTGGCTCTCAAAGGCCAAAATAGTGCAACATTTGTGGAATTATAATATGTAGAATAGTAGTGCGACACTAAGACAGTAAAATTACATCAATAATTTAATAATCTCTTTTAAAGCCTGAGTTTTGGCTCTCAAATGCGAAAATAGTGCACCTTTTATGAACTCATATAACATGTATAATACTAGTGCAACATTAAGAAAGTAAAATTACTCTCACAAGCGATAGTTAACACTAGTAAGTGTCGGAAGAGAGTAGGCTGCGTTCAAGTGACATACAAACAGCGAAATGGTAATGGTATGCTGATATCACCATTTTAGTGCTGGATTAGGGCCCAGTCAGATACTGGTATCGATATTGCGCAACACTACTAACTATCATGTTTAAAAGACATAAAACATGTTAGCCGGCAGATTATTCAATCAATGTTGGATTCTTTGGATGTTTGTCTTAAATAAACATTTGATTCATGAACGTCATTTAAGTAATTTTCTGACTAAGAATTGAACCTTAAAGCCTCCTATCAAACTTTCCTCATTTATTAAAAACTCAGTGGAATAATTTTTAGCCATTTATTCAGGAAACTTCTCCAGATACACCATAATATTTCATCAAATAGTCTAAACTACACTCAAAGGTTCCATCTGAAATCTACAGAAGCATTCACCAAAGAAAAATAAATCAGCTTTTCTCATAATTACTAGATATGATTTCTTAATTACGAGAAAAGATCTCGTAATTATGAGAAAATATCTCACAATTACGAGTTAAAATCTTACAATTATGAGATATTGATCCCATAATTATAAGCTTTTATCTTGTAATTATGAGATATCCTCTCAATTATTAAGATATATTATCTCAAAATTACGAGTTAAAATCTCACAATTACGAGATAGTGATCTCGTAATTATGAGATAAGCTGTCAGATTCTTTTTTTCTTTGGTGAATGCAATACGCTTCTGTAGAAAGCACCGATCATAGTAAAATAAAATCCCCAAATATTCAGATAAAAAATGAAAAAGCCTCAGAAAGACTGGAGAACGCCTGATTCAGGATATGGTAAAAGATGCACAGAGGCCAGGCTGCTTAGTGGAAACACGAAACAAAATTAGGCTTAATCCAAATCATCTATTTGGATGTTATCAAAGTGTGCTGTAAAGGGGCTTTTGCAGATGGCATGGTGTTATTGTACCTCACTGTGGAGCTCTGTCATCTCTCTGGCAAACTGGATCTCTGTGGTGTCAGGCAGCTGGGAGTACAGAGAGGAAGGAGCTCCTCTACCCGTCAGCTTGGTGCGATAATTCACCTGCAGGACAGACGAGATGTGAAGGAGACTGAACCGTCCTCCAGTCTGACTGCAGGAACAAACCAAATGGTGGGGATGATCTGCTGGGTTTTTATTATTCCTGTGAGAATGTTCTGGGACATTTGGATGATTGGCTAAAATTTAGGATAATATCTTAAATATTTAGCTATCTAACCATAGTGTAATTTTTTTCTTAAAATTTGCAACAACATAAAGGTTTGACTCTAGTCTGCAACTAGTGGGCGAAATTCAGGAGTTCCTTCCCATTCCTTCTCAGCCGTTGTATCCTTGGGCAAGACACTTCCTACACATGATCTACTGAGGGGTGGTGATGGTGAGGCGGCCACACTTCTGTCAGCGTGCCCCAGGGCATCTGTGGCCTTACTCAAGCTAATCACCATCAGTGTGTGAATGACTGAATGACTCTTGGACTTGATCAAAGTGTTACGTAAATACAGACTCTTCCCCATCTACTGTGTGGGTGTTGGTACCTCACTCTGCAGCTGGGACACCTCCAGGGCATGCTGGATTTCTGGGGTGTCTGGAAGCTGTGAGTACAGGGAGATGGAGGCCTTCCTTTTCCCATCTTCTTTGTACTTTTTCTAAAAGAAAGACATATCAGATCAGAAAAGATGTCTTATCACAACTTTTTTTCCCTGTTGTCTGAAGGCAAAACCCTGAAAATCTGAGCTAAGAATAAACATTTAAGCCCTGAGATGTGGAAGGCTTTTAAGTAATGACCACAATCAGACAAAGCTCAGTTTGATCGGCCAGAAACTCCCTTAATACCAGCTCAGAAAACTGCAGAGCTGAAATTCATCCAGGTCTGCAGAGAGGATCACCAGGGCTGACCTTCCCTCTTCCCAGGACGTATACAGGTCCAGATCTCTGCAGACCCCAAACATTCTTCAAAACAAACCGTATGTCAGCTTGACTTAAAGCTAATTACTCTAAAGATCCACCTCAGTGACAGGATGTCTTTCTGATGAACACTTTCCAGCCACAGGACCCAGATTGATGCCATGCAAATATAAATCTGTACATTAAAGGTATTTATTGTGAGCAAGGTAAGACCAAAGTCCAGGTCCTTGTTTGAGAGCAGAAACTTTGTGATTAACGCTGATTCTGTAAGCATTTACTCCTTGAAGATTACTCTTAGGCTCTTATTTCCAAAATGAATTCAGTCCTTTTGAAGGCTCAGGTCACTGGACCAGAGTTTGCTTATGGTCCATCCGTTCTAAGGATGACGGAGACCGCTCCTCTGGAACGACCTCCTGCTGTCTCTACATCCGTTTGACTCCATTGATCGTTTTATTTATTTTTACTACCTATGAAAGGTTTACCTGAAGTCCTAAAGGAGCATAGAGAAGCATGATGCTGGGCTCGGATTACAGCTGAGCTGCAGAAAGTCCCTCACAAGGCTGCACCAGGCTATTTCAGCTGAGAAACGACGCTCGAGAGAAAAAGCTCACATAGGTTCAGGCTCTTTCTGGGAGTGGTCAGACAAAACTCATCAGTGAATATAAACATTCTTTTCATCATCTAATAGCCAATCTGTTTCTGTTTCACCTTGTTTTTTAATAGTAAAGGCTAAGGGCCAATTTTCCTGTTTGGGGATTGAAATCCAGGAGGTTGATGCAGAGGACGAAAGACTTTGTGGACTGTAGCACCTTAGTAAGCGTACCCACACAGCACCGTGGTTGATATCAGAGTATGCATTGATTTTAATGATTTGTGTTCCTTGTGGTGCTGCTCAGCATTCAGTATGAGTCCAGCTTGAAGCTAATTAAAGGGAAATCATGTTTCTGCAGAAATGCCTTTAGTTCATATATTATTTGATAGAGAACAATACTTTCAGCAAATAACAGGAAGGCTAACATCCATCCAGATATTCTTTGTTATGTTGCTCAGTATTTTGCAATGTAATGTATACAGAATGTTAGATGTAGAATTTCTCTCAATTTCCCGCCCTTTGTTGAATCTAGCCCTGTAGATCTGGACTCCACCTGTGGCAGCGAGTTCTGCAGGAAGCATGTAGAACATGACCTCTAAGCTTTATTCACAGTTTCAGTTTCATCCCAAAGGTTCTTTAACAAACACCTCAGATGATCTAACAGATTACTGAGCTGTAGTTAGGACATGTACTTGTCCAAAATGTTCTTGGTTGAACATCCTGATGCTACGCTCTGCTAGCTAATGTCCTGATTCAGATCTGACTTCTGGTTGGTGGTCTGGTTACCTCGCTCTGGAACTCATGGACGCTCCTGGCCAGCTGCATCTCTGTGGTTTCAGGAAGCAGAGAGTAAAAACTGCTGCTCATTTCCTTCTTCCCTTCTTCTTTGTACTTGTTCTGAGAAACAGAGGGAGCAATCATCCATCCATCCATCCATCCATCCATCCATCCATCCATCC